TGCAAAGATAATCATGGAACCACAATAAGGGTAACTACACAATGAAACTAAGATAACGGCATTAAGTTGGGACCCAATTGCAAAGAAAAATGTTCACAACTACAAAAACACCAATACACTCTGGCGTTAATACTCCAGCCCGCACCGAAAGTGCAAAGGAGTCACGGATAGTCAGTCCCAGCCAAAACCCCTTCATGAGGGCGCCGAGACTAACACACTCACCTGTGCTATCACAAGAGAGGCAAAATAACGAGAGAGCTCGCTCATCCCCTCCGGAACTTAATGGGAACAGTGTTCCAAAAGTGAAAAGGGAAGCGTTCATTAAACTCGGGGACAAAATATCCGAGCTAAATGAGATGATGGGTGGAGGAAGAAGGTCCATCCACCAAGCAATGCGTGATCTTGTTGCAATGATATCATCGCTCTATAAAAGAACTGCCGAAGAGACACCAAATAAAACTATCACCGCTAAAACCAACGATAGAGGTACCCAAACAATTCAGCCGCAGCAAATACCTGTTATATCCAAACGGTTAAGAGAAGAAATCGAAAAAAGTAGGAAGACATCGCCTAAGAAGACGAAAACAAATCGACCTGTGGGGGCAAATAATACTAAGTCTAAGGAGCCAAGGAAAGCATTGGAAAGTAACTTAGATACGGTGGCCGGGACGATCGGCAACGCTGATGTACCTCAAGCACCAATTGAAGACAACAACAAACGACACGCTTGGGTTTCACAAACAAAAAAATGCGTGAAACCACCTCGACCGAATGTAGTGATCAATAAACCGTCTGAGAAACTTTCCTTTGCGGACATACTCCGGAAAGTAAAAGGAGCTCCAGAGCTTAAAGCAGTCGGTAATGATGTTCACTCTATCAGGAAAACACAAAAAGGGGAACTTCTGCTTGAATTCAAAAGATCAGCAGAAACAATAACAAGTGTCCACCAAGACCACATCAAAAGTATACTACCTGAGGAAATAGAGGTCAAAACGCTAACGGAAGAAGCTACCTTTGAACTACGATACCTGGACGAAATAACCACAGAAGAAGAAATAATTGATGCATGGAAAAACCAAATAGGCGAAATACATCACTCGGCGATCAAAACAATAAGAAATGGCCCTGGAGGTACCAGAACGGCTATAATTGTAATACCAAAGAAGCAGGCCGGTAAAGCTGAGGAGGTGGGCAAACTACGAGTTGGATGGACCGTGTGCCGATTACTCCAAAAAGTTACCCCCAGGAGATATACAAATGCTTCGATTTTGGACATGTGGCAAGGAACTGTCAGAGCTCCAAAGACTGGTCTAAACACTGCTACAAGTGTGGTGGAGAGGATCACCTTGCTAAAGCGTGTCAAGGTGCCCCTCACTGCCTACTTTGTAGAACTGACACAAATATTGACGCTAACCATATTACGGGAGGATCTAAATGTCCATTATAGTACACTAGACAATCACTGCTGGGCTACCAGCAAGTGCAACAAGGCATCGATATGGACGTGTGGTAAATTTCCACTAGAGAAGGTCTACGACGGAGGGGAAGCATACGTAAAAAGTACAGTGAATGGAATAACGTTTTTCAGCTGTTATTTACCCCCCAGTCTATCAATCGAAGAATACAAACAAAGACTGGGCAATATTGTTAGCGACGCTAAAAATATGAAGCCGACAGTGATTGCCGGTGACTTCAATGCCTGGGCCATTGAATGGGGCTCAACATTGACAAACCCCAGGGGAGAGTGCCTACTAGAAGCATTGGCCACCCTGGATGTAGTATTATTGAACTGCGGCCAAAAGGATACATTCACAAGGAACGGTAGAAGCTCTAAGATTGATTTGACATTTATCAGCGATCCACTAGCTAATTTAACTGAGTGGCAAGTGTCAGATATCTACACACATAGTGACCACCAAGCTATCATATTCGAAATACATGACCGCGCAGCAAGAACCATTCCTGCGGTAGCTACTCCAAATCTGCTATGGAAGGAGTTAACTTTTGGACAAAGAAGCTTTTAAGCTCTCAATGGACGACATCCACCTAACTGGCAGTGCAAATGATAAAGCAATACAACTGATGCGCTGCATAACAAATTCATGTAACGCATCTATGGCAAAGAAAGGCCGGCGGAATGGCAGACAACATGTGTATTGGTGGACTGACCAAATTTCCGAACTGAGAAGAAAATGCAAACATGCGCGACGCCTATGTCAAAGAGCAAGGGGTCGTGAAAATTTTATAGCGCACCAAGAAGCCTATAAAACATCGAGAACTGATCTAAAAAAGGCGATATCGAATAGCAAGGCAAGATGCTTCAAGGAAATGTGTGAGGAGGTCGAGAATAACCCCTGGGGACTAGGATATAAAGTGGTTATGAAAAAATTATATAGCTACCGTCCATCAGTTACAACAGACGCAGCTAAGCTACAAGCAATAGTTAAAGGTCTCTTCCCGCAGAGAGCTGATATAACCTATACAGTACAAGATAGTGAGCCACAGAATGAAATACCTGAGGTTAGCAGGCAAGAATTGGAAGTGGTATGCAAAGGTTTGAAACTAACCAAAGCACCTGGAGTAGATGGAATACCAAACCTGGCACTAAAGATGGCCACAGAAACCAACGCTGATTCATTCAGGGAAGTGTTCAACGCATGTATAAAGGAGAGAACATTCCCCCAGATATGGAAAATACAAAGGTTGGTGCTTATACCAAAGGGCAATAACGTACAAGATGCATCAGGCTACCGCCCGCTATGTATGATTGATACGGCCGGTAAACTTTTGTAAAAGATAATTAGCCGAAGACTAGAAGAAGCCTTGAATGGCAATGGTTTATCAGATAGACAATTTGGTTTTCGGAAGGCACGCTCCACAATAGAGGACGTGGAGGCAGTCATAGCCATAGCAAAAGATGCCATTAAAGGAGACCGTTGGCTCGAAGGAGACAAAGAATACTGTGTTATCATTACATTAGACGTTAAAAACGCATTTAACTCAGCGGACTGATACACTGCTTTAGCAGCATTTCAAGGGAAAGACGTTCCAAAGTACCTAGTGGAATTAATCGTTGACTATTTTAAAGGGAGAGTGCTTTTGTATTACACAGACAGAGGCACAAAGTCATACCAAGTAACAGCAGGGGTACCACAGGGCTCGGTACTGGGTCCAATATTGTGGAACATTTTGTATGACGGAGTGTTGAGTCTTGAGCTCCCAGAAGGCGCAGAAATAATTGGATTTGCTGATGACATCGCGCTGGTGGTTAAAGGGAAACATATAGAAAAGATACAATCAACATGCAACGATGCGGTCACTATGGTAAGGAGCTGGATCGCAAGTGTAGGCCTCAAACTTGCTGATCATAAAACTGAAGTCCTTCTTGTAAGCAGCAGGAAAAAGATTGAGTACATTACAATAACTGTTGGCAATGAGCGAGTCACATCAAAACAAGCAATCAAGTATCTTGGAGTAATGATTGACAATAGACTCACATTCAAAGAGCATCTACGATATGTTGCTACGAAATGTGCTAATACAACATGTGCGCTATCGCAAATAATGCCCAATATAGGTGGACCTAGACAACAGAAGAAGCAGTTTTTGACAAATGTAGGTAAGTCTATTGCTATATATGCAGCTCCCATATGGGCAGATGCAATGAATAAAAAGACGTACAGATCAGGAGTAGACGCAGCCTACAGAAGATGCGCTCTCAGAGTTGTTTCCTCATTCCGTACAGTATCTACTGACGCGGCCATGGTTATTGCCGGAATGATGCCACTACAGCAGGAAGCAGAAATTGAAAAGGAAAAGCATGCGGCAAAAAGAACTGGGCTTACAAATTACAATCAGCTCAATGAAGAAGCATTGAATAAGTGGCAACGGAGTTGGGATATATCCACAAAAGGAAGATGGACGCATAAGCTCATTCCGAAGATAAGTGATTGGACCAACAGAAAGCATGGACAGGTGAACTACTATCTTACCCAGGTGTTAACTGGACACGGCTGCTTCAGAGCATATCTTTTTACGTTCAAACATGACGAAGACGACACGTGCCCAGCATGTCCATATACAAAAGAAACGGTGGAACATGTGTTCTTTGATTGCCCGAGATATGAGAACCATCGCAGCTCCTTGGCAAGAGCAATCAGAGAACAGGTCACACCTGATAACATAATCCTACTGATGTTGAGATCAACAGAAATCTGGAACTTAGTGTGTATATTTGCGAAAGAAATCGTAGAAGGACAGAGAGCAGCAGAGAGAACTAGAAGAGCAGTAAGAGATGACAGCACTCGCTGAATCACCACCCTACGAAGTAATGCTTAAATGTGGTTCCGGGGGGATTTATGGTTAGAAGAGACACGGTGTTAGGATGAGGTTTAGTACGTAGGCGTAAATACCAAGCAAACATTAATGCTGTGTGACTGACTTTTAAAAATTCGCACATTCAGATGTGCGAGAAAATTTTATGCTCGCACCGCACTGAGCGACAAAAAATTCTCTGTGCACACAAGTGTGCTGTTCATACTTTTTTACTTTTTCATACTTTTTTTTTTTTGGTATCGTACCTGGGGGAAAAATCTTCCAAAGATACAAATAGCTCGTACCATTTGCATGCCCGATTCATGCATAACCCAATTGAGTCATGCATGCCTACGGACTAAAAAGTCCCCTACATTCTCAGCTGAAACTCCTGTAAATTCCTGCAGTACGACCAATTAAGGTATTCCTTCACAGGGCAGGTTAGAAGAGCACTTAGCGTGCTTTCACTCCGATTGTGTACTAAGTATTTCGTCCGCTCTAACAGTGTTTATTGTTCTAGATATTATGCTCTTCTAGAAGCTCCATTCTTCAATGCTTGCCAACATCTGTATTACTACAGTAGGAGGGCTGGCTTCCCCAATTATAGTCTCCAGATTTTGTCTATCAGCGAATTTTATACAGTCTCTAATTATATGGTCGGGGCTCTCAATTTTATCTGGACAAAACTAGCAGTATGGATTACTTGCAAGCCTGAACCGGTATAAGTATTCACGGAAGCAGCCATGCCCCGTAAGAAACTGCGTTAATTGAAATCCCAGTACTCCAGATCCTCGGTAAATCCAAACTTTTATATTTGGCATTAAGGAATGCATCCATCTTGATTTTTGGGAATGGTCCCACCTATGTTGCCATTCATTAAGATATTTGTCTCTTATTTCTAGATAAGTATGTGACAGAGATTGCTGAGTTTCATTCATTCGTAGACGAGAACGCATGAAGAAGCTGTCTCTGGCCAAGAGCGGTTCAAGGTCTATTGGCACACGTCCCGCCAATACTCCCGCAGCATCATCCGATACTGTACAGTAAGCATGGCAGATGCGTAGGTTTGCCAATCTATGTGCGCTTTTCATTATGCGTGAAAACGACTTTATGGTTGTAGCATGCACCCACACAGAAGCAGCATATAGCATCACCGACTTGGAAACGGATGCTAAAACAACTCTAGCTATGTCCTTGGGGCCTCCTATGTTTGGCATTAACCGGGCCAATGTGCTGCAAACACGTGAGGCTTTGTCTCCCGATTGCTTTAGGTGAGTTTTGAAATGCAACCTACTATCAAGGGTAACACCAAGATACGTAAGTTGGGGGCTAGATTGTATATCTACTCCACCCACTTTAATTGAGAGTTGTTCAATCCTTTTCCTACTGCTGATTAGCAGCGCCTCAGTTTTATGCTCAGCGAGCTCTAATCCGCTGTTTTGCAACCACGATTTAGCTACTGCAATAGTAGCGTTGCAATTCCTAGCCACTTCATCTAGAGTTTTTGCGACCACTACTATTGCAATATCATCTGCATACTCAATTACGTTTACTCCATCCGGCTTTTCAATTCGAAGGATACCATCGTACATGATATTCCAAAGAATTGGCCCTAGAACTGATCCCTGGCGAACCCCTCCCGTAATCTTATATGTTTTGGGTCCGGAGTCTGTGATGTAATTATTTTTAAAAGATATTCTGGGACTTTTATTTTCAACAGTGCATTTAAGATGCTACTCCACTCAGCAGCGTTGAAAGAATTTTTAACATCTAAGGTCACCACCGCGCAGTATTTTTTGGTACCACCTAGCTACCTTAAGCCCTTAGTAGCTTCCTTTGCAATGTTGCATACATGTAATATAGCATCAACAGTACAACGTTTAGGGCTAAAGTCAAATTGGTTATTTGACAGACCCTGCCTTGCCTCCGTGAATTTTTCTAATCTAGAACTTATAATTCTTTCCAGGACCTTACCTGCAGTGTCCAGTAGACATAAAGGTCTGTAAGACGATGGTAGTTCTGAGGGCTTATTACCTTTAGGAATAAACACCAATCTTTGCTTTTTCCAACACGAAGGAAAAATATCTTCCTGTAGGCAGCTGTTGAATACATCCCTGAATATAGCAGCTTGTTTTAGTATTGCCTTCTTCAATACGGTATTGGGAATTCCATCCAATCCAGGAGATTTATTGGGTTTAACTCTGGAAGAAGCGGCTATGACTTCAGAATCTGTAACCGGGGGGATCTCGTTTAATTCAGTGTTTATCGATATTAAGATTCTAAGTTCTCCCTTTTTTGGGAACAAGTGTTTAACGATATTCGCATATTATTTTAGGAGACGAAGGTACCGAGCCTCTTAACCTCTTAAATTTACGCATTACTATTTTGTAGCCATCGCACATAGGGGTATTTGCTCAATTTAGGCGGCCAAAAATCGAATTTTTGAAATTAATTTTTCATAAAAATTTTTAATTGGGGACTTTACAAAATAGAATTTGCTACAAAATTATGTTTTTTTTATTTTTCTCTGAGCTGCCATTCGCATGAACAGCTGATTTGAAGTGGAGCATTTTGAAAGTAAAATTTTTGTTTGAGTTGCAACTTACACTAGTAGCTAATAAAAAGTGATATTATTAATAGCGACAACATTCTTTAAAGATATAAATTATGACATCGTTTAAAGGAGGTAATTAGAGATCTACTCATAAAATTTAAAGTAGATATTCTGTGTTTTAGTGCTGTTGAGGCTTTAATCTAAAAGTTGCAATTTGAATGAATTTTTTTGATTTAAGCGAATGCATTATAGTTAAAAAGTTATAGAATTCCGCAATATTCCACTATGATATTAACTGCATTATAAAGGTGAAAGTTTCTTCATTTAAGAAAAAAAAGTTTGGCTGCGGATTTTTGCGGATGGCTTTGTAAGCAGCAAAAATGTGAAGTAGAGTCATGCATATTTGAAGCAATATTTTGCATTGCTTCGTATACAAAACGAGTAAACATAATACTTAGATAATGTAGGAGAAAAAATATTGTTATGCCTGAAATGTAAAGATCTGACACATTGATACATTGAAGATAAAGTTAATATTTACTAATTTTTGTGAGTATTTGAAATCCTAATCAAGCGCACCAGCAGCATTCAGTGTACTCATAAGCAGCGTTTGTGATCTATGTATACTATGTGTTTCCGTGTAATCAAAATTCAAAAGGCATTCAAAAACAAAATGGGTCTTATTGTAGATATGCCTAAACCTGGATTCGGAAATAGTAATGATGGAAACATAAGTAGTCGATTTTTTTCTGAGCCTGAGTTATCAGCAGAAATTACGAGTATAGATCCAAACCTAATTTTTTGTTTAAAAGTGATTTTGGAAGTCATATCAAGTGGATATGACATTGATACTGAAAAATTTAATCAATATGCTTTCGATACAGCGAAGCTGTACGTAATATTGTATCCATGGTATCCTATGACGCCTACTATGCATAAGATTCTTATTCATGGAGAAATTGTCATTAAATGCACTGCTGCCAATAGGACAACTGTCAGAAGAAGCGGCAGAAACACGTAATAAGCATTTCAGACTGTATCGTGAGAACTACTCACGAAAATTTTCTCGGGAATCCTGCAATACAGATATATTAAATAGACTGTTATTAACTTCAGATTCTCTCCTGACTGAATTGAGAGCAAAGCCAAAAAAACCATCACAGGCTTTCACAAAGGATGCGTTAGAAATGCTTCTTCCTACTAATGAACTGGAAGACACCATAATGTGCTTAAGTGAGAAGAATGAACTTAGCTCAGATAGCGAAATATTAAATTTTTAAATATTTAAAATTTTTTTAAATTACACTTATTGTTCTTAGGTAAGAGCAGAAAAATGCATGTTTCAATCATAATTTTACTGTTGTTAGGTATACGAATATGTTTAACCAAAACGTCGCATTAAAGAACTGAAATACTTTTTATTATTATAATAATATTTATAATTATATTTATAATAATATAATAAATAATATTTATTTGTTTTAATATCTTACTCGAATTCTGAATTGAGAGAAGCCGCTTGCCATACATATGCAACATTTTATCAAGCACAGTGTATTTTTTTTAGACATTATTAATTATTTTGTTTATTTTTTTGTTTTAGCAACTTTAAAAGTCATGAAGTAGCTTTACGTAACATTTTGAGTTAAAAATCACACAAAAATAATTTTGGCCGCCTAAATTGGTCAAATACCCCAGTGTGC